CAGTGAGAGCGCAAGCGCATCTACCGGCAGAGAAACGGGTGTCGGGGGACTGCCAGCGCACACCGGGCTGCGAGGGCCATGGCAAGCTGATACTGAATTGCGTACATTAAAATTAGACGAAACCGGTCGTTTTCAAGAACATTACACGTGGTCTGTTTATTAAGATCAGTATAATAGAAGCTCCGAGGAAAGTATTTTGGTTAATAATGCCAAATTATTCTAAGCCCCCCACCCTGAATTGACACTCCCGCCTCGTGGGAGTCACGAAATTACAAATTGCCACCACGAGGGATTTAATCAAAGTCGATGACTTTGCATACAAGAACTGTGAAATATCGATGGAGAATTATGAGTCGGGTGAACAGGTCTCCAATTTGGACTGCGTACGTATATAAGCTGAAGACGAAACTGGCCGTTTGCAAGAACCTTACAGGTGGTTCCTATTTATAGAGAGATTTGGCTAATCTAGCCAGTTTATCGCGAACACTCAAATCCGGATCATTTTTGCCGACCACTTCTGATGAGGAATGAGTTAGTTTTGTCAGTATACGGTAGGATTCGAGGTCATTTTTAAACGACCGTCTCTAATCTATCCTCACCGAAAAGGAACCAGTGCAGAATGAACTCACCTGTTGTAGCTAAAGTGCGAAAGAAATATGCTGACTTATAAGTAGGCAGTAAAAAGTCAAACTGATCAAAATAAAGAGGTATAAAAGTGCAACTTAGAATGGACACCCTGATGGCGGTCACGAAATGGCAAATGACTGCCACGAGGGATTTAATCAAAGTCGATGAAAAATTCTGCACTGTCTTAAAAATGACTCTGACAAGTCGATGCAGAATTTTGAGTAGGATGAACAGATTTCCAATCCAGATTACGTACATATATAAGATGAAGATAAAACTGGCCGTTTTCAGGTGATATCTATATATAGATCAGTGTGAGAGAAGCCAAGATCATCGAGACATGTTTGGCTATTCATGCCAATTTATTCCGAACGCTCAAATCTGGACTTTTTTTCCGATCACCTATTATGAGGAATGAGTAACTTCTGCCAGTATGAGGTAGACGTTGAGGTTATATCAAAACGATGGTCCCTATTCTCTCAACACCATAAGGGACCACCTCAGAATGCGCTAACCTGATATAGCTAGAATGGAAGAAAATACGGACTCATAAGCAGACAGCAAAGACTTGAACTGATCAAAATTGAGGGGAAAAAGTACTAACTAAAATGTTCAGCTCAGTCACAAAATGAAAAACTGCTGCCACGGGGGATTTTAACCAACGAGCCGCATACTAGACCTGTGAGATCTCGATGGAGAAGTATGATAAGAGTTGACGTATCTCCAATTTGGGGTACATCTCTTAGAGTTGCACGAAAGTGGTCATGCCAATTCTATTCCCAACACCCTAATCTGGAGCCCTTTCAACGCCAACATCTGATTATCTCTAGGCCACAGCAGAGGAAACCACTGATCCCTAGATCAAGCCACATGTTAAAACCACAGTCTCTATTGTCTCAACATCACAGGCGACTATATCGATGGGCGTTTGGGTGAGATTGTCTGGTCCGACACGCGAATTAAATGGCAAAATTGATTCTCATTATTGGATGACCAAATTTTCTGTTGGTGTAGGCTGAGAGTGCATCAAAAATTTTCCTACACTCATTTTTCCCCACAACAAGAACGAATTACTCACTCCAGTCAGTTGTGTGCGTCAACCAATATTTGCCGTTGTTGCAGGTGTAGAAGTCAGTAGATTGATTTTGCTTCACTGTGAGTGTCGCTACTGTGTGCTTTTTGATCGATCGGATCTCTGAAACGGACGATCGCAAGATTCGGTATCGGGCACATAGAGAGACGTGGAAAGGAATAACAGGGGGACATTAAGATAACTAACGCAAATTCAAGATCTGCGGCTGCTCCGAGACTTTATTTACGGTTGAAAATATTTTCTTCTCGTAGTACAGCGTCCTGTCAACCGACGTGTAGAGAACAAACTGAAAGAGAAAGTTTACAAATTGGGCTTGAACCGGTCAGCCGGTAATGTACTGGGTGGCATGTTTTAAAATAGTATTTACAGTACACGGACATGCGTCCGCACCCTGGACCATCTCCCGACAAGATGTATTTAAATGCAATAAAACAGATATGTAGTGTAAATTATGGTTTTTCTGTACTACATATATATATACATATGCATGGATATAAGCGAAAATGCTGACTCCAGGTGTAGAAATGGAAGAAGGAGATAAGGCGTTCTCTGGGGAGGAAGATTTAATCGTCTGACGTTTCATACTCGTACTCGAGCACATCATCGGAGACAGGCCAAATGAGAAATACATGGTTTAAATAGGCCATTCGTGCTCGCGCCTGATAGGTCGATCTCGCTCTCCTCTTATTGGCCCTCCTCTCGCGCGAAAGTGGTGCCTGATGGCCTCGTATGGCGCTGGTAGGTCAATACTGCGGTTAATCGAGTTGGCGTCTGATTGCAAGGCTTCGATTACTTCTCCGATGGGGGTGAGCGCCCCCTAACATTGTATATTCCCGATCGAAAACCGACAGGGCAACGGGCTCGTGGCCCGGTGGGTAGAGGCGTGGACTTCTAAACCAACAGGTCGCGAGTTCGAGGCTCGGGTGTTCCACACTTCGGGCTTGGGTATGGCTGGCTGACGACGGCTAATAAGCCAGAAATGGCCATTCCAGTCTCCCTTGTCTTTGTCGGTAATACCATTGTGCCTATTTCCTGTTTGTGGAATGATTTAGAAAGCCCCATGTCGAACAACTCCTCCAGCAATCTTTGCAAGTGTGGGGTCCAGCTTGCGTCCTGGTCCCGTGTTTGAACCCTTCCAGTTCGCAGATGCCCATTAGATCCATCAGCTCTCGATTGACTGGACTGCATTGTCTCGTGGGTGGGATGGACGAATACAGAATCCGTAGACAGGAGCTGCAACTTCTGAAAATGTGCAGACCACTTAGTCTTCCAAAATTGCTCCCCTATAAAACAGCTAGACAAAGGCGCAACAGGAACTAAGCCATAATTCAGACGTCGTCCTCCCTGCCGCCATTGACACCTCACTCAAAATGATTGGCCTGATTATCAGCAAGGATTTGGGATGACAATTTTTGAAGAAATAAACAACTTGAAAAATGACGTAATGGAACATTAATAATTCGCCACTTCTGAAAGTGAAAAGAATGAGACAGACTGAAATTGCCATTTTTGACTCGTTTGCCGTCAGTCACTATGCCTAAGCGACCCAGTATTTACAGTTGGTGTTCAAATAGTCATTGTGCCAGTTGGCCACGGTTGGTCTATAGTTTGTACCACGTTAGTCTGTGCGCACAAGACAATCTTCCGTAACCTAATGACAGTCGCCTCTGCTGCTGCTGCTGCTGTTAGCAGACGCGAACTGGCCATCTGAAAATGGGCCCCGGTTAGATGGTAGTTGGTAGCCCTCCCGGTATCGAAAACTCCCAGCTACCTGTCTTACGGAACCGGTGGTAATAGGGGATATGCGGGTGGGGCAGATGAGTGGAGGCGTAAATGGCGCTTTTAGGGTATGCCTGGAGTTGACGTTCCTAGTAAAGTGGAAGCCTAAGTTAAATAAGGTGTAAAATGCAAGGAGAGTATAGAAATAAGCGTGGATAATTAGTACGGTATGCGGAATATATGCATCATTGCCCCAGATCAGAAAGAATAGCAAGTGGAGGCGAACAACCAATAGGAAGAAGGCAGTGCGTCTTAAAGTCATTCCGCAGTATGTGTGATAGTACTCTAACCGACAGAATGGACATGAGAACACGAGAGTCAATCAGCGGCACGCAGGACGGCATAACGCAAGCGGGGTAAGACTTCAATGCGAAAAATATGTTTGGGCGAAAGAGAAAATCTGCAAATAATAGTGTATTGTCACTGTGGCCACATTTAGGATTAAAACTATGGCAGTAGTTGTTTGCTATACGTGAATGGTGTACTATAAAATGTAAAGAGGAATTAGCACTCTGTATATGAAGTTACACTTTGTTCTGCTTGCAGAGCCCAGTCTCTTAGAAGGCGAAGGAAAGCAGGACCGCAAGTGGATAGGCCGACAGATTATTCGCGGATCCTGGAAATAATCCAGTCTTCCTACCTAGTGCAGTATCTCCAGCAGAAAGGACTACTGCACTGTAGGGTCTTATGTAGATGTCGAAAGGTCATGCCCTTACAAATACTGCGACAGCACACGGATGGTTATGCCTTCAGTTAACATCTGGGTACTGCGGTATGCAGCCCAGGATAGTACCTCTAAAATGAATCATATTCAGGTAACACAGTGCCCGCATGCAATTAGAAGCATTCTGAGAGGCATGACGAATCATTATCCGCCTAGGATAAATCTTTCGTCCTTTACTAAAGATTTCCGTGTATGAGTGCAATACAATGAGTCTATATAGACATTTTTGCAGCGCCTCGTTCTCGGGGCGGTTAAAGTGAAGAAGAAAGTCATCCTGACAGGGCTTCTGCGCGTGCACTCCCAGACATAATCACAGAGCTTGAAATCGAGCCAGTAAGTACAATTGTAGAATCAGTGGGCAGGGCTACCAACTACCATCCTACCTGGGTCCCGTCACAAGTTGTTCATCCTTCGCGTCCGTGGTTTCAGGTGCCCAAAGTGCATTTGTTAATGCGTGAAAGATGCATACCTCCACAGACGGTCACATTCGAAAAACCGAAAAAAGCAAACTTGTCGACTAGAAAAATACGTGGGTGTAGCGTCGAATATTTTGGAAGTCATATCGCGCATCACAGAAACTGGCGTCTAAGTCATCTTTCTGATAGAGTCAGGCTGCGACCGCTTATATCTTTTTAAAAGATGATGAAGTCGAGGAGCTAGAAACGAGCATGGTGTCTTCACCTGAACCAGAGTTGCCAGGACGGTGACAATGATTAAGTTATACTTGNATATTTCACCTTTGGTGGACAAATGTATGAACAAATCAAAGGCACCCCTATGGGCTCCCCCATATCAGGGCTGATTGCTGAAGTGGTTCTTCAACGGATAGAACACTTGGTGTTCACCAAGTATCAACCAAAGTTCTGGGCTCGTTACGTCGATGACACCTTCGCCATTGTCAAATCATCTGACGTGGAGCACCTTAAAGAATTACTGAACTCGGTTGACCAGAATATCCAATTCACGATGGAAGCCGAAACAAACAACCAACTTCCCTTCCTCGATGTCCTTGTGCGTCGGTGTGCAACTGGAGAATTACAAACTACCGTTTTCAGAAAAGCCACCAACACAAGACAAATACTGCACTTCAACAGCAATCACCCCCTCTCTCACAAACGCAGCTGTGTCCGTACTCTGTTCCAAAGAGTTGAAACACACTGCAGCACACCAGCCGACAAAAGAGTTGAACGACAATATCTTCATGATCTCTTTCAAACCAATGGATACCCAAGCCACTTCATCAAGCAAAGCAAGCGCCGAGTGAACAGACGACGGCCACAAGAAGAACAACCCGAAGTCTGGAGGGCTATTCCTTACATTAAAGGAGTCTCCGAAGCGGTTTCAAGACTGCTACAACCGGCCAGGGTAGGTATTGCCCATCGACCCCAGGCAACAATTCGTCGCCGTTTGATGCAACCCAAAGACATACTGCCACCCACTGAAACCTCAGCAGTTGTCTATCAAATACGTTGTAAGGATGGAGACTGCAACTACGTTGGGGAAACCGGACGGAAATTGCAGACCCGCCTACATGAGCACAAACTGGCAACACGGAGACTAGACCCAAACTCACAGCTTGCGGCTCACATCGGAGAAACTGGCCACAGTTTTGATTTTCAAGGTGCAGCCGTCATAGGCAGGGGCACCTCAAGGACTGAGCGTCTCACTCTTGAGGCTTGGTACTCAGATGCCAACTCCATTAACAGGCATCTAGACCTTCCTTCGGCCTATAAAGTCCTACGTCACTTCATACACCGTGACGAAGACAAGACAATCACACGGAGCCTAAGAATGCCGAGCAAACACGGCCTGTCGACCACTTCACCCAAAAGGGGAAAGCAAACGCAACCAACCCCAATTGAGGTGACGACACGTATTACAGGAGGCCACAAACATTCACAGGCGACGGCCAGTAGGCCGAGGCAGAGAAGGAAGAAAAAAAACGATCAGCCCAGGGCCAACTAATGCGGCAGTCTATTCAAAAATGCTGATCGATTTCTTCACTTGACGCTTTGACAATGGAGAGCAGCCCCAGCTCTTCGAAACGTCAGCTAGAAAAAGTCCCCCGATCCGGTGAGCAATTCATTCTCCTCAGCTCAATGTACAGTCAACTTTCCCTGACGAACGACAGAAAGACGTTCGCTGTAACTGGCCTATACGCATAATTCCCCAATGTTATGACCCGCCTGGTACTTGAAATCTCGTGGAGCATATACGCACTCGACCCTTGTCTCCAGTGCCAACACGGCAGAGAAGGAGAACGCGATCAGCCACGAAAATATGTATTAGGAAATTGCAAGTCAAGATTAACTGGAAATAACGCATATTTATAACGCCCTACTGTGGTTCGCCGGCATTCAGCCCAATGCCCTTCGAGAAGAACATTCCAGACGAGCTGGTCGATAATTCGAATACGCAGATCGATCAGGCCCGAGGGGAAAAGCCAATGGAGAGGCGCCACGATTAAGATGACAGCGCTGTGGAGAAAACGCACGTGGCCTCCAGTGATTGGCTGGCTCTTGTTTTTGGGAGTGTAGGCACTCCCAACACGCAAAGGCGGCGCCGCTATGACTGTGGCGGCGTAGAGCAAATCAGAACTTGCTTCACACCACTGCAGAACCTGTTGATCTCAAGTGGAGGCGCATAGGCGGGGAGTGTGTGGTGAGGTACCGGACTAATTTACCTTTGACAATTTAGTCCCATTTTCTTTGACCGGATTGGTTGTTTGAATGTGATGAAAAACAACACACCAGTACAACCCGCTTTGCTAGCGTGCTCCTCCGTCGTGGTCTGTTGTTAGTTTTCTTAACATTCAAAAACCTCTATATTATTCACTGCTCAGCTTTACTTGCTGCCTTTAAGGCTAGGGGCTCGTGAGATATAACTCGTTAGTTCGTGAGAACATTACTATTTACGACATTGGTGACCCCGACGTGTACTCAGAGCACCACAATAACAAAGTCAAATCCCGACTAGAACGTTAAGACCGGATGAGGGGTTTTATTGTACGACGCAGATGCCGTCTTGTGTGGCGGTGACCGCTGGGGAGACCAGGCGTGTGCTGACTTTGGCGTCAGCCGCCTCAGTAGGTTTGTGGGAGCAAGTTCAGGTGTCTGTGTATCCAGGTGCCGCATGTCGCATTACCGTACCGGAAGGGTGGTGCGTCTAGTGGTCTCTGCTGCATGGACCAAGCGGTGTCGCGTGAAGGTGAAGCATGGAGGCCTGCGACTGTCTGGTGCTGGCATGTGCGAGTGTTGAAGTCGATCAGGCAGCAGCAAGGTCAGTGCGTCTGGAAACGCTGGCCGCAGCGGGTTGTTGGACAAAGGTGTCGGGCGCCGCAATGTTGAATGTCGGCCACACTCTAATACATTCGAAACCGGTTATTTTGCGTTGCTTGTTGTTGTAGCGTAATAAACTGCGTCCACCGGTGTTGGAGATTCCAAGTGAGTGCGGCAGGCAGTTCGGGGGTGATGTTGTGGCAAGCGGACAAACAGACGAGAGGGTGACGTCAGATTCTTGTTTTTGTTTGTGTACGGGCGGTTAACGTGGCGGCACTTGATTGAAGGACTCGTATATAAGACCTTAGGAATGTTCACATTTCCTCTTTCTAAGAGAGAGAGAGAGAGAGAGAGAGAGGACTCGGGCTGACGAGCCACCACCGCATCGAATATGACCCCAGCGGTGATTGCGAGAACTGATAATTGCAGTGCGCATACGGTCCCACGGCAGCCACGTGCTATAAATACTGCACGCCTTGTGTCACCATCACCTTTATCTGCGAATGTCTCTGATGATGGATTCGAGTGAGAATCCGAAACGTCAGGCCAATAAATTTCTTGTTTCAGTGATCGCATCTTTGTTTTCTGAACTGCTACCTGGAACTCGCCTGTTCGCTTCTATCACCAGTTAAACTTGTTCCCCCTATCCTATAGACAAATGATTTGTTGCCGGCTATGGACTTTCTGCATCATCCACGGGCATGAATGTTCGCTCAAATATGAAGACTTCTTTGACTTCACGACCATGAGTCACCTGCGCAGTCAGCAGTACAAGGTCAATCGGAAGCGTACACGCAAAGGCCGTCGGAAGTTTCCATTCAGTCAGCGTGTTGTTCAACCGTGAAACTCACTCCCGGGTGAAATAGTGACGTCTGATACAATAGTTGTATTCAAAAGGCAGCTGGATCTTTTGATCTTTGATAAACGACGATTCTCACTGCGAGACTATCTGCGGCCAGCCATAAAGTTGATTTCCTGATTTCATTCCCTATGTAACGCATCCCTGCACGTTTGATAACATTTTATTTCACAAACTACGCAAATGACTGCATTTTGTGCTGATTGTATATAATTGCACTTAAAATTCCATGTGTATCTGGAAAGGACCGTCTGCCGCACCCTTCGCAGTTCCATACCGTAGAAGCGTTTTCCGTGAACAATATGTTACTGGCAAAATGTTAGTAAGATGTGCATTTAACATATACCGCTTCAATAAGGTCATCAGGGACATTGCCTAATACCCTAAATGTACTACTAGTATAATGCTACTATACTACTACATACCTGAAATTACGTGGGAGTTCGTCAGACTGTATGGCCGTTTGGGCTGTTCAAGTAGAGGTGTGGAGAAGGAAATACTGTTTTACAACTGCCAAGATGCTTCATAAATGCGTAACATGCACAACGGTCATTGATGATCCGTGCAACATGAATGATGGGGGGCGCGGACCTTCCTATTGTAGCCGGTGGGGTACAGCATTTCCACAAATTTGATCGCTCCCGGAAGGAGGATCAAAAGTGCTGTTTCGTGATAGTGTGGTTCAACCAATTACCTTGTCGCAAAACCCATGAAGGAAGTACGTCCTGGTTGGAAAAACGTTACCAGTATCATAGACGGACCCGTCCAACGTCGTACCACCTCAGGTCAGAGACACAATAAGTAAGCTGGGAGACTGAATATGCCATGCCATTAAGGTAGAACTCCGACCAGCGTTGCCACATTGAGTATTTTATTTAAAGTCTTGTAGGAATAAATGATTTATCTGAAGGAATCTACAAGCGACAGTGCAGAAAAAGGCAAGATAATGTGTTTACCAGTCTCGATGTACAGGGGAGAGCAATTTCCGAGAGGACCAAAGGAAACACGACCATTACGACAAACGACGAGTCAAACAAGGGGGAGGGGCTCAAATACATCAACAATAATTCAGGTTGGCGGGGGTGGGCTGAAAAGTAAATAAGAGAAACCAGACGAGCCCAAGCGGGACTGCATTCTCAGGGGCAGGGGTGGGAGCGGACAGCGTTAGCAGAGAATAGGACTTGACTCGGAGGGGGGAGGGGCGTATGACAGGAAGGTGAATTACAAGCTTAGGTCGTTTCTAGACCGATGGGAGAAGGCAAAGTATTTAAAAAATAAAGTCTCTTTAAGCAAATATACTAGTTGCATGTGCTAAGCGCCGCCGCCTCTGAAACATATATATATATTTTTTACTGCGCGCACATACCGCATTTTTGCCTCAGTCGAAAGTTCTCACGGTTAGAAGGATGGAAAAGGCTTGCTGGAAGTGCCCCAATACTGAGCCTCCGAGAGACGCCCTTTTCTTCATTTCTGCCCTCATGAACGCCCTCAGTCTGCTATTAAATCTCGGTGTGCTGGCGTTACTCCTTCTCTTAAAAGGCAGACCATTGGCATTCCTTACCCAGCTGCGTGCCCTAATTGGCTCTGTGGTCTTCTTTATGATCATCAGGACCTGCGACCGCGTGATACCCAGACGACTCTACCCTCCCGACCCTACCTTGGCTTCGATTATGTGCCACCTATGGACGAGCCCATATCTGTTTTTCGTTACTTACACATTTACAGTACTTGTACTGAATTTCACGCTGGGGAACAGAACAATTCAGATTGTCTGCAGATACCAGCACTCATTCTCCACCTCCCACATTACCAACCTCGCATACTTGGCTGGCATGGGCCTAGTCAGCATCAGTTGTATGCTTCCCCAGGCCCTGCTAGTGGGGTGGGATGGCAAACATTGCCGTTGTCTTGACACAAAGCTGCCTTACGGAGTTCTTGCGGCTCTTTACACTGAGACCTTTGCTGATAGAAGCGAACAGGCGAGTCCCAGGTAGCAGTTCAGAAGATGAAGATACGATCACTGGAACAAGACATTTATTTGCCTGACGTTTCGGATTTTCACACGAATCCATCATCAGAGACATTCGCAGACAGAGGTGAAGGTGACACCAGGAGTGCAGTATTTATAGCACGTGGCTGTCGTGGGACCGTATGCGCACTGCAATTAACAGTTCTCGCAATCGCCGCTGGGGTCGTAATTGATGCGGCGGTGGCTTGGCGGTCCGAGTCCGAGCCGTTAATTGCCGCGATTTCGTCATCCGTGCTGGGTGATGGTGTGACGATTGCTCGGCAAACTGGCTCACTGTCACTGGCTCGCCCGCGCTCTCCCCACGTGACTGATTCTCCTGCCCAGGGAAAATCGCGATACGGACTAGGGTACCGGGAGGTCATTGTGTTTGTTGATGGATTGCGGGCCTGAGAACCATGACTCGAGCAGCTGGCGGCTCACGCGGCTGTCACCCCTTTTAAGGATTTCGGCCTCTTGAAATTTGAAAATATGGTCAGGTCCCGTCGAGTGTGCCCCCACCTGAGAGTTAGCGTCTCCCCGCCTCACTGCTGCTGCTGCTGCGTGCTCGGCAAGTCGCGTACGGAGTAATCTCCCAGTTTCTCCGACATAATTGTTTTGTCCGCAACTACACCAGATCCGGTAAACGACTCGAGACGTTTCCTGCCGTGGCAGCGGGTCTTTTGGCCTCAATACTTGGCGCCTAATGGTTGCTTCCGGCCTGTGTGCAACCCCAACTCCAAGTGGAGTGAGAAGACGACTGACGGCTTCCGAGACTTTCTTCACGTACGGAAGAACCCAAAATTTGGGGCTGGTTGGAGTTGGTCTCTGGTGCCCTTTTCGTATGCACTGGTTGACAAAGTTGCGCGGGTAACCATTGGTTCTCATTACCCGTCGAAGATATTTTAATTCAGCAACCCTGTCTTCCGTTTCAATGCAGTGCGTCTCAACGCGCCGGTATTGCGCCCTTACGCAACTGTGTTTGTGACTGATCGGGTGGTTGCTATTGAAGTTCAGTATTTGCGTCGTATTTGTCGCTTTCCTGAACACTTTGGTTTTTAGGCCACCACAATCTTTGCGGCAGACGAGGACATCCAGGAAGGCCAGCTGATTGTTTTCCTCCTCCTCCATCGTAAATTGAATGTCCGGGAAGACGACGGTGAGTTGTTCTTTGAACGTCAGCACCTGATCCCGTTCGATGACGACGAAGGTGTCATCTCAGGTGGCGGCACACTCGACGGGACCCGACCATATTTTCAAATTTCAAGAGGCCGAAATCCTCGCAAGGGATGACAACCGCGTGAGCCGCGAGCTGCTCGAGTCATGGTTCTCAGGCCCGCAGTCCATCAACAAACACAATGACCTCCCGGTACCCTAGTCCGTATCGCGATTTTCCCTGGGCAGGAGAATCAGTCACGTGGGGAGGGCGCGGGCGAGCAATTATCACGGTGACAGTGAGCCAGTTTGCCAAGCAATCGTCACACCAGCATCCAGCACGGATGACGAAATCGCGGCAATTAACGACTCGGACTTAGACCGACAAGCCACTACCGCATCAATTACGACCCCAGCGGTGATTGCGAGAACTGATAATTACAGTGCGCATACGGTCCCACGGCAGCCACGTGCTATAAATACTGCACTCCTGGTGTCACAATCACCTTTATCTGCTAATGTCTCTGATGATGGATTCGAGTGAGAATCCGAAACGTCAGGCAAATAAATGTCTTGTTCCAGTGATCGTATCTTCATCTTCTTAGATGGTACTGTCATAGCATTTATCGCTCTCACATTACGTTGGACCACTCAGTCTGTAAAAGGGTGGATCTGGACAGCAAACGAAAGCTTGACACTGCTTGATAATTCACGGATTTGGCAGACATTAGAAAGGTGATACTAACACAAATGATCTGATCGGTGCAGGGAGCACACTAACTTTGCCCAGTCCGGATGAGGATGCTCGTAGATTGCAACCAATGCCAGTCAATGATATGGCATCCCATTTTAGATAGTTTGCCAATTCTTTCTTTCGAAGAAGAATGATTCAAAGAGTTCGAATTTCATGCGGTTGTCGCCCCCCCCCCCCAACGCGAGGATGTCAGCCTCATGGAACTAGCAGGTGTGTCCAGGTCCCATGAAGTGGGCCGCGATGTCGTTCGTCTTCACTGCTGATAAACTTCCAAGAGTCCTGGTCTTGAGTTATCGTCCCGTTTTACCAGCATAGCTGCTTTCTCTGCAACTGAACCAGATCTGGAAAGCGGTGGTCCCAGACCTTTCCCACCTAACAGTGAATCCTTCGACCCAATCGCTTGCCGTGAGAAGTCCATTTCCACTCCATTGGCGAAATGTAGTGGTTCTACTCCGAGCGCCTGTTAGGATGCTCCACCTCTCGCGAGTGCCTGCACGTGCCTGGTTTTCGCCCACCCGCAGTTTACCAACTGGCCAATCATCTTCAAGGTCGAATCAGACGTGCCCTCGCCTAAGGCGCTGTGACGTATTGGCCACTCACACTTGTGACGCCGCACTCCCGGCGTTAGAAGCACCTTTGCCCGTCTTTCAGCTCTCACCGATCCCCGCTCTAGTTACTCTGTACAGAATACACTATTCTCACTCCAGCCTTGCATTTGCGACCTGGCCTAATGATCGTAATGGCTTAAGTCGTTGCTACAGAACCAGTCGGTACTGCTAGAAGGGTGCGATGGCTATCGAAGATAAACTGTGGAAGTCGATGTCTATAAACGTAAGGAAATACTTGATAACAAAGAAAGTGGTGTTAAGGGTTCAAAAGTGGAATTAGACTTTGCGAGTGAACCGAGAAGTGAGAAGCAAATGAACCGTCTGTTGGGAGAAACGCTTTCGGGGGAATCGAAGGAAGAGTGTGGGGAAATATTTCGATAATTTTGAACTGGATTGTCTAGCGGTCAGTCGCAGTCGGATTAATTACTCTCTCAAGTGAACTAAGTTCCCCAATGCGGGCACGTAGTTGGTTTGCCAGAATGACTGTATCAGTGATTTAGAGGGTGGTTGATAGAAGCGAATAGGCGAGTTCCAGGTAGCAGTTCAGAAGATGAAGATGCGATCACTGGAACAAGAAATTTATTGGCCTGACGTTTCGGATTCTCACTCGAATCCATCATCAGAGACATTCGCAGATAAAGGTGATGGTGGCGTCAGGAGTGTAGAAGGTGGTATAAATACTTTCCAAACAGGAAGGCATGTTTTTCAAACGCTGCGGTGGGGTTGAATGCAATCGCGTGAGGAAGTCACGCTACCGGACAATTGCAACTCCTGGTTGCAGAATTCGTCTCTAGGTTGCTGAAGGAGTGCACTCAGAGGTGGAAAATCGGTCAAACTATTTGGGAGAACATCTACCTGATCGGCTCGAATATTCCACCCTAGAATTCATAAAAGAATGCTGTTGGTAAAGCGTACGGCTTTGATAAAATTGATTTATGCAGTAGTTGATCCTCTGCACGCCTGGGTAGATACGCAGCAAAAATGCTTCATCTTCTGAAGCAGTAGTTTAGTAGAGATTGCGTAAATACCCTAGACCCTGACGTCCACGGGAGTCTGTGTCTGTAGATTCTCTGTCAATCACTAGCATCTGTCCGTTTGAACAGACGGACAGGCCCCGTTATAGTGAGGTTATACGAGGAAGTGGAAGGTGGACAAGGGTTACCAACTAAGTGCCCTCTCCTTGAATGCCTTAAGCCTGAATATCTAGCGATGGGTCAGACAAGATATGTCTCTCAAGCAGTACTTTTGGATACCAAAGTCAAAGACGCGCTGCACTTCCTCAACAAGAGAGTTGGGAGGGGCTTAGCGATAACCCGTGATGGGGGAGTGGCCCACTGGAAGAGGTTTGAAGTGTTACTTACGTTTCGTAGAGCTTGGCCGGATGTCTGTTGTCGAGGCGGTTTGCGCTCAAAATCGACCGGCAATTCAAATAAGATAGTCATTTACGCGCCCTTGAGCTGATCGATTTTTTCTTATCCCTCACCGCCATAGCCTCTCAAGCAATTTATTGATTACGAATGTGCGCAACTGTTCGGGTGTATACGTGAGTAAAATGAAGGAAAACCCTAGTAGCAATGAGTTACGAATCGGATCTGAATTGTGAGCGAATCGAGCCGTCAGTTTCGATCGGTCGGACGCGAATCGGCTTCGACGATTCGTAACTCAAATTTCCATCCAAATGGCAGTCAACTTATATCCGTTATCAGCAATCCGCAGACTCGACCGCCCCGGCTGTCGTTTACCGAGCAGTATACTTATAGGTAATATCGTTTTTGTACGGCAGGAAAGGTATTCATCACAGTGAAGGCGAAAAAATTATTTAAAATTCATAACTTTTAAAATTTACAAAATGGGGATTCATCGTTGAGTAAACAGTCCCCCTTCCCATCGCGATTTTACGTGTCTGCAAGGGAAACATGTAAGAACATTAAGCCCTATCCGAGTGACATGAATAAAGCATACTGATAGGCAATTTTAAAAATATATTGCATCAAATGACTGAAATTCTGCTGTAAGTTTTCATATCCATATGATAACTGAGTCAGGTTTATAAAATTTCAAAATTACACTATTACAAATATGCATTGCGTGATAATAATATTTATCGAGTACAAATATGCATGCTATGTATAGCTTATAGGTCATAGTAATGATTGAGTCACTGTCTGTCTGGGCTTTTATACCGAGTTTTGATAAGCGGTCATATGTGTGTTTGAAGGCATTTTTAAGAGCCCTCCAGAACTGATGACGGTCGGAGAGCTGCCCTCGGTTCCAGCTGTCGAAGACCTCTGTAATAATTTTCATAAGTACACATGTAAAGCAGGTCTTACCTAGAACCTAATTGTAAAGAGGCGTTCCGAAGAACGACCTCTTACCCTGCTGTCGACTATAGACCGCAGCCAACCAATCAGAGGCCAGCTTCGGTCGGGACGCGAGCATCGAGTCTCTATTCGCGTGTCCTTGATACTGGGGGAGAAGAAAGAGAAGAAGAATAAAAAGAAGAAGAAGAAGATGAGGAAGAGGAGGAGGAGGAGGAAGAAGAAGGAGCAGAAGACTGATCGAGAGCCTCAACCACTGGGGAGACAGTGGCTTGTCCCATCGCCGGTTTAACGTAGAATTGGCCATAAGGAAGCCAGAAAAATATCGCCTTCATCCAACAGTGGTCCACATTTGACACAATTGCGTAGAAAACACGTTTGTTTTTGCCAGGAAGAACATGCTGCAAAATGTCCATCACCTGCTCAGTACATCCTTCCCTGACACAGTTCATGAGCAAAGACGAACAGGAGCAGCAGTTGCCCCTTCAGACACAGTTCTAACTTACCGTAGGCAGCAGAGTTATGAAAATTAATGATTGATTAAACGTCAGTGAGAAGTCTAGGGTAGCGTACCCCACTCCGAATCTACAGTAGATGTGCTAACTCATGAAATGTCAACCAAAATTTCGAAATGCGTTCTCGTTTCGAAAAGATAAATTAAGTAGTGTTGTAAAACTAATCATGATGCAACTTAAATCTATAATGATCCAGCTACCTCAGGGTGTGGGCTTTCGAAATAACTTATATTCGGCTGTATGCAAGATCTATACTCTGCAAAAAAGTGACTACTTATGTAGTATGCAATTTTCTCATTGCTTTTCGATGCCCTTGAAAATTCGATTATATTTCATGGAAACCATGCATAAAAATATTCATTCTTTTACTTATTCGGTGGAAAATCATGTTTTCTTCCAATTTCATATTCAAAAAAGTATAATTCGGTTTTAAAAAAGTTTCTAATTGTGAGATTTTTTAATACCGTTAAATGGCCGTTCATGAAACGTCATGTATCTGCATTTACGAATGCGGCTTGTAAAGTTAACAATATTGCATGAATTTCTCTACGGTATTAAGAGGAGACCATATGAGGTTCATAAAATTAAGCAGTGGATTTGAGCAATATTGTTAACTTTACAAGCCACATTCGTAAATGCAGATACATGACGTTTCATGAACGGCCATTTAACGGTATTAAAAAATCTCACAATTAGAAACTTTTTTAAAACCGAATTATACTCTTCTTTTGAGTATGAAATTGGAAGAAGACGTGATTTTCTACCGAATAAGTAAAAGAATGAATATGTTTATGCATGTTTTCCATGAAATATAATTGAATTTTCAAGGGCATCGAAAATCAATGAGAAAATTGCATACTACTTAAGTAGTCATTTTTTGCAGAGTGTAGATCTTGCATGTAGCCGAAAATAAGTTGTTTCGAAAGCCGACACCCCGAGGTAACTGGATCATTATAGATTTATGCTGTATCATGATTAGTTTTACAACACTACTTAATTTATCTTTTCGAAACGAGAACGCATTTCGAAATTTTGGTTGACATTTCATGAGTTAGCACATCTACTGTAAACTGGTCTTGTAATTACACAGATAAGACTGGACGCATGCTTGCATAACGAATACATAAACATAAACCCGCTGTGAGATGGAATGACGAAATAGCATATGTGGCTACCCACACCTTCCAAACAGATCACGAATTCAAAATTTTCAGTCTCCAAAATTATTGCCACACCGTAACTAGGACAAGTGGTGAATATGTTGAAGCATGGGCCTCGGATGGGGACTCAGTAAATCGATGTATCGATCTGGCGCCGGTACAGTGAGCCCTGCGCAGTCACCTCCAAGCGTACGACACTAGTCGTTGATTGGATAATGCCTTCGACAACTGCTGCTGTTACCTCTGGTGTCGGTCTCCCGCGCAAATTCAAAATCTTAGAAACACAAGCAAGCAGTTCCGGTGCTCAACAGATTTTCAGTTACTTTCGTCAAACTTGTAACTGTGGTAAACTCGATGGTAATTTGCGTCAGAAAAACAAGAAGAATGGAGGGGATAATCCCGCTTTCCCTGATGAAGAGATGCGCTTAAAAGATGTTGGATTAAGTGGCTCCAACTTTGCTTTTCACTTGCCAGAGAAACGATTCCGGTCCAATAGTACCAGTTCGAGCGGAAAACCATAGGGCTTCCATGTTTGGTCAAACGTGAGTTTGAACCGAAATCGCAGCTTTTGGCAGAATCTATCCGCCAAAATCAGCTCCAGCGAAAAGATTTTTTGCCAAACTCGAAATGGGATGTTTCGAAACTATGCCCTGCCGCTGAGGAGACAGATCTGTAATAATTGAACGTGTAAACCCATGCTTTTTACCACTATGAGATACTTGCGTATTTGATTTTGGTGGGCATGTTATATTAGTTCTAGTCCCCGGCTAGGCTCAAGAAAATGATTAAATTTAGGGTTAAGGTTACTGTTGGGTCAAAGGTTAGGGTCTGTCTGCCGTGCACCGTCTTACACAATCCGGTCTTCTTTGACCAATGACCTTGGAGCATCGGCTTCTCGCCTGTCTACATGCCCTGATTCGCATTTTTCAAGCTGCCGTGCTGATGAAATTAACATTGACATCATGTCCGCATTAAAGGTGTCCCTGGGCTCTATTTTATCGATGGGATTAAATATCCCATACTCGAAGACAGACTGTCTGGGTCGAGAGATTGCTATCCGCCTGTGTTCATTGTGTCGAAATATTCGTTTCAAGTTGGTATTTCATTGTTCACAAACCTCCCCACTTTGACCGTGCATTTGAGCGAACGTAGGTTTGAGCGGTTAACTCGATAAAAACTCTTTTCAACACCACTAATTTCTATTTTTTTCAGTTTCTGGTCGGAGTTTCCAAGGGTTTTTAGGGTGAGGCCAATGTGTTGGCTACAGTGAAAATCGAGTTTAACCACACTTCGACTTTAGCATTTGAGTTAGAATTCCAAGTAAATTTTCAGACAAGTGGGCGTTAGACTTTTGCCGCCGTATTACACGAAAGAAGCTTAGAAGCGTTGACAATGGAACAGCATGCTCGCATTTTGAAAAACCTACAAAAATGGAATCGAATTTCCTTCTTGTTTCGTCTACTTTGTAGAAGAATCTAAACAGAGTGCCATTACCGACAAAGAAACGAGAGACTGGAATGGCCACCTCGGGCATATTAGTCTTCACGGATGGAAGCGAATATGCGAATCCCAGGTTCTTGTTGTAAAGAAGATGAAGATCCGATCTCTGGGACAGTGGGTTTATTAGTCTGAGCTTTCGGTCTCGTACAGGAGGCCATCGTCAGAGACTGTGAGAAGGCAACATCAAATGAGCGGTTTTTGTAGGCGTGGGACGCAACTTATCGAGAATACCACCAGCTGCACTCATATCTCCCCCCCCATTTCATGGCGTGACTACAAAAACCGCTCATTTGATGTTGCCTTCTCACAGTCTCTGACGATGGCCTCCTGTACGAGACCGAAAGCTCAGACTAATAGACCCACTGTCCCAGAGATCGGATCTTCATCTTCTTTATATTAGTCTTCGTCCGCCAGGTGTGAAACACCTGGGGATCGATCTCAGACAACTAATAAGCCAGATATGGCCATTCCGGTCTTCCTTTTTTACTGTCGGTAATGCTATTCTGTCTACATTACGCGCCTCTGTCCGGCTGCAGGTTGGGCTCAAGAGAGAGCCTCAAGGCACAATAGGACCAGTGAGTTCCGTAACACGATCAGTGAGCTCCCCTCTACCAGAGAGAAATCTGTTTTGGCAAACCCGGTGATAGATTCCCCTCATCTCCCCGTGGGAAAGTTTCAAAACTTTCCATGAAACTGCAACCTATCGCCTTCTGCTAGATGACGATTAAAGCATGCATGACATTTGAGGGGAATCTAGAAACGCCCGGGTAATGGCTTCTACTAGATGGCGATTAGTCTGTGTGTGACAGGTGGAAGAGGGGCCCAGTGACATATCGCGTCTCCAGGCAGCTTGACTCAATTCTGCCCCAACCAGACTGCTAGGTCGACAACTTGTGAGGTTATCACAGGAGCCTAAGTCGAGAGTGAGACCCAGGCTGCCATGATCCTCAGGTCTGGTCCCGAAAGGAATGAGAAAATGGACGCTAGTTGGGAGGACTGTATATTCTGTACAGACCAGCTGGAGAGGGGATTGGGGGAGGAGTTGGCAGCCAGAGGAAAGTGCCTCCGGCGCCTAGAGGGGGCGTCCCAAGTGCGAGTCAGGGAATGCGCCAAGGCGTCTAGAGCCAGGCCACGTCTGACTCGTCCTTGAATATGATTGGCCCGTTGGAAAGCCGAGTGGGCGAATGACAGACAGCCCTGGTGCGCACGTGCAGACACTCGCATTTCGACAGGCGCCCGGAGTTGAGCCATTAAATGTTTACCCCCTCCTCTGGACTGACAGGTTACAATGACTCCTTTATCAGATGTCAGTATCACACGCCTCGTCTATCCAATAAGATCCGAGTCATTGAAGTCCGATTGGTCGTGTATAGGAGATCAGCAGATGCGTGGCACGCGCAGGCGAGCACCATTTTTCAGATCGATGGAGCGCGCGTTTGGCAAACAATGGAGGGAGGTGAAATGCCTGGCACGCCACCACGTCTGATCTCCCCGTCGGTCGGCTTCACACAGTCCACCCTTGATGGCGGAGAAGGGAATAATAGAAAATGAGGATGAATATTGCGTGACTTTTCCGCCCACCAAAAGATCTGATGCACTTTGAGCTAGCATCGGATACACCTTTTTCACGGATTGGGCGCGAACATGTTCTCAAGTTACTGACTCGTTCGAATTACATATTATGTGAGGAGGAGATCTTGCTCTCTAAAACTCAGGCTATACTCCTTGTCATGTGACTGTTTAAAACCTGAAGCCCCTAAAAGCAAAATGAAAGACAGTTAATTGAGTGCAAATGAGGTTGACACCTGCTTGAGCAAAGCTAGCAGTAGGCGATGATTATTAAAAATGGGGGAGGGTCGTTTTGGAGGTGTGGAGACTCCTTTACAATTGACACCAATATCGATCGGACTAGTGTTGCCCAGGTTTGAGGGGATGACTTATGAAGAACTCGGAAGCCCACAAACGGGATCTCCCGTCTCTGGACTCGCTGCTGAGGCGGTCCTACAAAAACTTAGATGAACTGGTGTCAGAAGCCAATCAGTCGAAGTAGTTGGTTCGGTATGCCGACGGAATCTTCGTAAAATCAAGCTGAAATTCGTTGCACAGTTTTATGAAATTTCAAATTTCATGCTGGTGGACTCCCAAATAATCAGAGTGTGGAGGAAATAAAGGGATGGAAATAAAAGAAGTGAGCTGTTTTGACTGACCGTCATAATCCCCTCTAATTTTGAGGAAATTCGGGAGCTGATTACACAAGTGTAGAGAATTAAAAAACGCCAGTTATGATCTCCCACTATCTTGCAAGGGGTGAATGTCCACGCCAAGGTGGAGTTGTCACCTAGCAACCGGATTCAAATTCCTGTGGAATATATTTACGCCAAAGCGGCTACTCGCATACTGTATTGTCGAGCGACACAGGACGACCGAAGACAAACGAAATTCAACTAGGGAGTGCCCGAGAGCATGGTGGCGGCTAGTACGCAGTTGCAGGGTGTCCGCAACGTACCCGGAGATCAAGGACGATTGCCAACCTAGTTCACATGCGACCTTATGACCCCGTGTAACGTGCCAAACGTGGCACGTGGTCTATCATTTCTGGCGTAGTTTTCGTCAAGTCGGGCATCATATAATGCTGCCTGAAACAATAATCTTATCCTCTTAGTTCAGTAATCTGCTGTTTGTTTTGCTCATCCCCTTAAAGTACATTCAGGCGTATTGACTTTTCGACTGTCTATCTAAAGTCGAAAAGTGAGCGGCACTACTTTTATTGGTCCAGTAGTACACTGGTAAGCAAACAAATCTCCTTATATTAGTATATACGTGGAAAAGTCCGCTCGCCTGCTTTATGATTCACAACAAGACCAACTAAGCGCTTAGAGGCTGCTTTAGCTGACCTGAATCACTTCGTCCACCATCATGAAGTGATTGTAAAAAATAAGTGACTGTTGGTCTTAGAGAACAAGAGTAATCAGTAGGTAGAAACGCAAGTCTTTCTTGACCGATTGGATGCTGCAATCACGTCTTCAGTTCCATTTTTTCCGGATTTCTGTGAGTTTTCCGAGCCCTGTCTAGATAAGCTGCTCCAGACAAGTCAGACAAATCATCTGGGAAGCAAATGAGCAAAGACGATGATTGAATACCTCTGGGGGGGGGAGGGGGAGGGGGAGTGATTGGGCATTGATTCCCGGCGCACAGCCCCCCGAGAACTCTCGAAGCCTTGCTGAGGAGATGGCATGTGGTCCCGCAGGTGACCCGGGTTAATTTACGTTTTCTTCTTACCAAGCCAAGCAGGTGTTCTGATATGCCCTAAAATCCTGGGCAACGCTGGGTTATGTAATTGGGGCCAGCTATAGGTACCAGTCTTACGAAGAAGGTGGTATTAGGGGTTTTACAAGCGGGGTCTTACAGCGCGGTCATAGGGAACCCCAAAGAAGTTAAGTGCAAATATGTAAAGTTGCGTCGTAAGGCCTTTACTACGCATAGGGAATAAACAAAAAGTAACCGCCTAAGCTAGACACAATAAAAGAAAATAACTAACCACATCCGGTGGTCGTGAATTTGTACTGTCATTGAAACATGGCGGGTGTGGTAGGAGGGGGAGGAAGCAGAGAATTCTTGCACCAGTGTAAACAAACTAACGCGCAAATCACAGTCGGTGGGTTCACCTTGTGGATTGCGCAGGTTGAGCTACCGTGACCTGCCCAGTCCACATGCGCGTCAGGGCTACATTAATTAGTCAACCTTCAAAGACCTGAGAACTGGCGGCAAAAGGACTGCTTCTGGGTAGCCGAAGTCGGCGTCGATATTGCAATGGCATGCGTTTAAGTAAAGGATGCCAGACACAGCAAAAGGCGTCACAAGAGCCACCTCCTCCTGTGACAGATCAAAACACGTTGTGAAGCGGTGGCGAGGCGTATTGTGAAGGCCAAGGACATGAGTGTTAAAAGACTCAGAAACGTAACTTTAACATTCATTTCCCGCTGTTATCCTGTCAACCTAATAACCAGCTTGCCCGCTCCTGCTGATATTTGGCGTCTGCGGCGGGCATGAGGTGGACGAGTAGGGCATAGGAGAAAATGCTCTGGGAAGGGACATTGAGGACCGCGTTAGTGGCCTGTGGTGTGTCTGCAATCGGCTTCCAGGGCATCTTCTTTGCCCACATGATCTGCACCTCGAACGACCTAAGCTACTATGTGATGGACACCAAAAGTAGTCAGACTGGACTTGCACCGGCCCTACTCCGCCACGCCTGTTGTAACGTCACGTCTCACGAGCGTGAGTTTCCACGTACGCACCAGCGACAGCCAGCTTTTCGTCCACCCACGGCTTTCCAACTGGCCAATCATCTTCAAGGTCGAATCAGACGTGCTCTCAGTCAGGGCGCAGTGACGCATAGACCGCTCTCCCGGAGCCGAGCGTACCCTTGTCCGACTGCCAACTCACTCCATTCCCTCCTCCATCTATTTCGTCCAGAAAATACAGTGAATGAGTTAACTCATGAAATGCCAGCCAAAATTTCGAAATGCGTTTTGTTTCGAAAAGACTTATTATGCAGGGTTATAAAACTAATCATCGTGTGGCGTAATTCTATAATAATTCAGTTACCTTAGGGTACCGGCTTTCGAACGAACTTCCTTCCGCTGCATGCAAAAACTATACTCTGGAAAAAATGACTACTTAAGTAGCATGCATTTTTCTCATTGATTTTCGGTGTCCTTGAATATTCAATTATATTTCGTGGAAAACATGCATAAAATATTCATTCTTTTGCTCACTCTGTAGAAAATAACGTCTGCTTCCAATTTTATACTCAAAGGACGGGTATAATTCGGTTTTAAAAAGTCTCTAATTGTGAGATTTTTCAATACCATGAAATGACCGTTCGTAAAACGTCATGTATCTTCATTTACCAATGTGGCTTGTAAAGTTAGCAATATGGCTCAAATCCACTGTTAAAATTTATAAACCCCGTATGGACTCCCCTTAATACCGCAGAGAAAAGTATGGTTTTCCGTACGCGGAAAATATACGGATTGTAGTTTGGAAACCCTGAATGCAAGTGTAACGGGAGGTTGAGTTCAAAATTATTCGGGAATTGGAAAAGTTTTTGAAAACCGAATAATACCATTCCTTCGAGTATAAAATTGGAAGAAGACGTATTTTTCTACAGAAAGAGCAAAAGAATAAATATTTTTATGCATGTTTTCCATGAAATATAATTGAATTTTCAAGGACATCTAAAATCGACGAGAAAGTTGCATGCTACCTAAGTAGTCATTTTCTGTAGATTATAGTCCTTGCATGCAGTTGAAAATAAGTTCATTCGAAAGCCGACACCCTGAGGTAACTGAATCATTATAGAACTATGTTGCATGTTGATTAGCTCTGTAACCCTACTTAATTAATCTTTCCGAAGTCAAAACTCATTTCGGAATTTCGGTTGACATTTCATGAGTTAGCCCACCGACTGCACTATTTTAACAGCTGGCGTCCAACTCCTTCTCTTCCTATTAAGAACCGAGCCTAAAGGTCGCAGAGGCTCGCTGTGGTCTCACTGCTTAAGCTGCTGCGACAGACTGGCTACTTATTTGGAGGTCTTTGCGCCATCCGTCACCTGTGGTTGTAACGAGCAGTACACAGGTTATGATTATTTTTCTTCCGATGCAACGGACGGTCATACCCCCTGATTACTTCTTCCCGATGCATTTTTTTCAAACTTTTGATGGCTCTGAGAAACTTCACTTTTGGGTTGGGGGTTGCTCCAATCTAGGCTGAGCGTGAATGCATTCTTTTTCCATTTCGACCCACCCCTGTTTTTCAGACGCCGTCCCTGATCTGATTAGACAGTTTTTTTTCGATCTGATTTTGTCGTGTGGGTGTCGTTTTCGGTATCTGAGACTCAGAACCCGTACGCCCAGTCTCTTCTCTGGTCGAAACGCCAATGGCTCCGAGTGAGCTAGATTTGGCCCCAAGTGGATGAAGACGTTTCGTAACCTGATCGGCAAACGTTCCTTCCCACGATTATGAATATTCCCGCCTACTTACATGACCCGATCCTCATGAACCAGGTCCGAATGACGGAGTATCAAATTCCGTAAAGGTGGTTGTAAGCTCTTTAAGATAGTGCCAAGGCATCTTCAATTGTTTGGTGAAAAAATGAGCGCCTGATCCGAGCTGGAACGACTTCTCTCTCCAGTGGCCTACCCAAGTCAAGTCGACCGAATTCGATAGTGGGATTACGGTGTGCTGGGTGGATGATTCGCCCCCAAAACGGGCCACGCGGTAGATGCGCTGGGCCAGATCGGAATCTCGCAGGTGTCATCGGAAAATCTGACCCATAACAAATACCAACATTGGGATTTGATGACAGGCCCAGTTGTCAGTTCTGTCCACGCCAGTTGGAATCCCTGTTCTTGTTGGTTAAGATTCTGGTCAATGTCTGCTGTGGACCCACAGGGGTGGTAGGTGCGGGTTTTCGCCGCGCCAGCCACCCGCGCCTCCTCTTGCCTTCAGTCTTCTTGACTGCGCCTTCACACCGGATCCGGGCGGGGAAAGAAAAGAGGGTGCGGTAGATGCTGCGCAAGTCCACTATCACGCGAAGGTCATCGTTTGTGCTCTCACATACTGTGGAGCACATGATGGACACCGTTTGCAAGGACGGTCAAACTGTCGAGTGCATGCTGACATTATGTGAATGAGCTATAGGCGATATTTTGGTGATCATTATCGTGTATGCGCATGTGACCGAACATGCCCATGCGATGCATGAATGCGCGGGTGCCGTGTGGGCAGAAAATGTGGCCGTAACGAGTGTTGAGCGAGTATATAAGCACTGGTTTTCCAGTAATATTGCAGTGAATTCGCAAGCGTCTAGCATATAATTTGATTCCAATGCCTGTGCACTGACGGTTAGACAAAGACGTTAAACTGCAATGGGGAGTTTCGCCAGTGTGTGGGCAGTAGGTTGGTTGTGTTGGCATTTTGATGGACCATAAGGACTCCGATGAGGTGTTGAAAATTGTGTTAATTCGTAGCATTTCCTTCTCGTGTGTTTATCGCTTCTCTTCGGCCTCGTCAGTCTGTTATTTTTGAGAAGTTTCAGGCTACCTGAGGCGGGTCTTCGATGTGCTCTGGTAGATGCATTTTTGGTCCCCTTGCCTAAGAGCGCCCATGACGACGTACTCGTGGGAATGTCGCTTCGCAAAGTGCACACGAGTTATCGTTACAGTGAGACCGCTCCATAGTAGTGGGGTCTGCCTATGTTGCGCCCCGCTGTGCGGCTGCAGTCGGAGCTCGAGAGAGACGAGTGAGTTCCGTAGCGTTATCGGTGAGCACCCCTCTGCCATTATATATACCCGATTGCAACCGACAGGACTTCTATTCAACAGCTTGGGGGATCGAGCCTCATTTGTTTCACACCTCGGGGTTTGATATGACTGACTGACGACGGCTAATAATCTAGGAATGTTCATTTCAGTCTCCCCTGCCTTTTCGGTGATGCTACCAACTGAGTCAGGAGGATATGCACTCCGGATATGCTGGAGACCGAACTCGCCCTTATACGATTGCCAGCGGCCACCGGTTAATTGCCAAACAAACGTCTCGTGTCATCTATAAATTGCCGGCGGGGGAGTTGAAGTTCCTGCACCAGCGGGTACTTGCAACGACAGAGGCGGCGGCGGCGACCATACGGCTACTCAACCCAATCTTGTGCTCACAACAGACGTTTTTCCAGGCCATCAACCTCCCATGGCCCAGGTTAAGCCCTTTATTTTCGTACCCACATCCCTCCACATGGCGGTACATCGACGAAAAGCAAGCATTATTCACCGATACATTCTCCTCCATTTCTCCCCACTCGCTTTGCCCCTAGCAGGAGTAAACTGTTATTACCCTCAACTCTGACATGCCTGAACACCCTTAATAATCTTCCCCTGAGTATCGTTAGTTGGCCGTTATCAGTTTTGTCACTTTATTGCATTTTACTTATTTTATCGTGCAGGGCCTAGCAAGGAAGGAATTGAAAACGTACTTTCGCCGAAGCTGACTTCTTCGCACATCTTGAACAACTACCTGTTGTTAATCAGTAACAACATTAAATACTATAACGCACTCCAGGCTAAGACGTTTTACCTTCAAAGACATGGACACCGAAGTTGCCGTTTCAGGCTTATTTGCCATCAGAAGCCAGTTCATCTTCAACCCTGGACCTCACATTCGACATCAGAATCCGATTCGACCGAACCGTCCTCGTTCGGCAGACTGAAAGCTCACCAATCAGACTTTCTGATGTTCCATCACTTCCACCCCCATTCTTGACCAAGCACACACCTTGCCGCCGTCACTGCTTGAGTCGCACGCGCCAACCATCTTCCCCCTCACCATTTTAATCCAGGTTTTTATGTGCCATGATAGGCACGACTGCGGACATTTTCTGACTGTCACTTTTCCCCTGGTTACATCCTTCATTGCGAATAACGCCTCATCCTGAGGGGTTGGTTAACCGAACGCCACGTTTCTGCCCTTCTTTCCAATTCAATCACACTCTGCCTTTCTCCAGCTGAGTGACTTGCACCATAGCCCCCAGCTTTGATATCTCCGATCACACATGATCTTTGTTCGCCTCTTCTTGCAAGTTTCTTTTTTTGCTATCCTACTCCATGTTAGTTTTTTCGATCGTATTTAGGCTGTGAAATATAATTATTTCTTGCTTTGGCGAGAGGGGGCGGCACGGGTTTTGCCTATTCGAGAACACTCAAGGCCGGTTGGTCATCAGCCGTGGCGGCGGAAGAATATCTTTAATCCAATATCTGTTTTACAGTCTTTCTGACTTTCTGCATTCCTCCAACTCCTACGGGACCTGATTTGTGAATATCTCGTCCATTGGACGCTAGACGGTTATATATATATGGGTTCGATGCGAACTAAATGCACCCTTTGCCTATATGTTACTTAATTTTGGCCTTTTGTGCAAACTCTGAAGCTCACGGACTCGTCTTGCATGTCCTTGAAGCTCCCTGAGCGAACGGATATAGAGCTACTCAAACACCCGAACATGTTCTACCCTGGACAGCGAAGGCAAATTAGAACATGGATTTGTTGAACTACGAGGATTAACTTCTCACCTGCGAGGTAGTTGCTGCCTGTAATTTAGTACTGGTTCGATTCAACTACCTTAGGTGGCTGCAAGATATCATGATCATCCCAGTCTGAGAATTCACCCAGTGCACATATGGGATGATAAAACAATAAATACTCATTTGATAAAGGTGAGTGTGTACTGGAAAGGGGTTTCTTTGGACTGAGCTTTCTAAGAGGTAGGCAGGTAGGAGAACTAAAAAGAGGTTAGACGGAAACTTTGAGTCTTTGAGTCGACCTGCGTTCATTAATATTGCTTATTTTTTGGTTAAATTGGTGAATTGATGTTTTGCATTGCTGACAAAACAGGAAATGCCATTTGAAGGAAAGCAATCGAAAACCAGTGTGTTATCACCGACAAAGACAAGGGAGACTGGAATGGCCATTTCTGGGTTATTAGCTGTCGTCAGCCAGTCATACCCAACCCCGAAGTGTGGAACACCCGAGGCTCGAAGTCGCGACCTGCTAGTTAGATGTCCGCTCCTCTAACCGCTGGTTGGGCTCGAAAGAGAGCCCGTAAGGCACAGTGGAACGAGTGAGTTCCGTAAGAACGATCGGTGGGCTCCCCTACCAATCGAAACCAATTAACTTGCGTGTGATATGACACATTTCACAGTGGTCAGTAATTTTCACACACCTTAAAGTATGCATGTTTTCCAGGCAATCAAAAAGCACGACTCAAATGTCTCTGCACCCCAAACAGCCAGTTATTACCAGTACCGATAAGCGAAGCTAGAACGACCAGTGAAAAAAAAGAGTGACAGTGGCCAGCGAGGAAACCAGAAAACCCTAGGAAAGAAGAAATCCGGGGGTACAAAAAGCCAATGGAACCGAACAGTCGATTCTAAGTGGTATATCCACAGGACCCGAACCAGGGATATCGACAACAGACCCGTCCATATCGATTAGTGCCGGGAGACCTAAAACCGTTAACGACGACAAGAAAAATTTTGAATTGAAATGTTCAGAGGAGAATCTGAGGTGAATGAATTGCTCACCGGATCGGGGGACTTTTCTGGCTGAAGTTTCGAAGAGCTGGGGCTGCTCTCCATTGTCAAAGCGTCAAGTGAAAAAATCGATCAGCATTTTTGAATAGACTGCCGCATTAGTTGGCCCTGGGCTGATCGATTTTTTTCTTTCTCTGCCTCGGCCTACTGGCATCCGGTTTAAACCATGCCTTTGACCAAAGTTTACTGGACATGACGCTCAAGTTATTTCTCAATCAGCACGTCTTGTTCCGACGAGATTGCGCGAAGGACAACAGTCAAATTGCCTTAATCTGGTGCCTACGAAGTCGCTGGATAGCATTGCTGAGGTGCAATGCCTATCTTTCCCAGGTCGAAGCGATCATGTCGCACCGTTGTGCTAGTATTCCATCTTTTCTGTGCCCAACCAAACCACCAGACTTAGAACAAATATTCGGCTCGATAAATGCAATCTAATGAAAGCTTAAATAACCTGAAATTATCTTTTTCCGGTGACACAGTTCAAGATTGGGAAGGGTTCAATGAGTTATTGCACATTCCTCTCGGAGACCAGAGTCCAATTTCACGAAAAAAACTGAACAATGCCCCCCCCCCGTGGCTAACATAAGCTTTGAGAAAGAAGTGAATAAAAAGCAGAGGTGATGGAGGACATTCCTCTCGGATAGGAACTCTGTGTCGACGAATGCATAGAAAGCATAGAGAAACCTAGTTAAGCGACTAATCCTCAGGCCACAGCATACTTTCAAAAAAGACTTACTAAACCGATCCTTAGAGTATCCGAACATATTCTATGGTTACATAAGAAGGAACACGCAAAAGCTAGTGAAGACCTAGAGCTTAGTGAAGATGGAGCAAAGGTAGAGCGCCATTCGCCATTTCTCAAGTTCATCTTTATGAAGGAAAGCTCATTTATTCCTCCCGACTGTGACTAAGTGGGGGGTCCAACGACTGGGACTGTTTGTTCCGTCGAAGCTATTGTCACAAAAACTTTTGATGCTAAATGAGTCGCAATCACCTGGTCAAATGACATACCGTCAAAAGAGCTAAAGGAGATCGCTGTAGACATATCCAAACCACTGTCCATGCCTTTTTAAGCTTCGTTGAAGTCGGCTGTTTGCCCGCCGACTGGAAATCAGCACGGATTATACCACTGTATAAAAGCGGCAGCAAGGTTTCGCAAAACAACTGCTGACAAATCAGTCTCCCTTCAGTCTGCTGTAAAATTTTGGGAAAATAATTGAGCAAGTAATAATGTTCTTGCCAGAGCAGCATAGTCTGTTATGCGACGCCCAGATCATGTGTGACAAATCGGCTCTATTGTTTATAACGCTGGACTTGAGGAGTTGATGGAAGAAAAATAGTGTACGCAGTCTATATCGAAAGCGGTTGAAAGCGGTGTTTCTAAAATCTTCGTTCCTGGTGCCATCCTGTTCATTATCTACGCCACTGACTGAGTCAGTGAACTTAATTGTGGTGCCGCATGTTTGTCGATGATGGTAAGTTTTGGAGCGTCATCCGTTTTGAATTCGACGAGGAACGCTTGCGGGCAAATCTGAATCGTCTCCAAAATGATCACAGGACGGGGACTGGACAGGACTGGGCTTTTAACATTTAATGTGACCAAATGCAACATTCTGCGAGTCAGTAGTACTTGATTCCCGGACCGAAGGGCTTACCAGCTAAGCGGCATACTATTACAGGAGGTAGACGCCCAGAAGGACTTGGGTTTGTGGGTCACGGCTTCACCTAAATCGTCGCTACACTGCTCCAGGGTAGCCAAGTCCACGATGTCAATTCTGTACCTTGTCAAGTGGCCTTTCTCTACCTTCAATGACGGCGGTTTCATTAAAGTCTTTCGGACGTTTGTGTGGCCGCAGCTGGAATTCGTTATGCAATCGTCGAAAGCCCGGACCACTAAGGACCTCAGAATCCATGAGAAAGTTCAAAGGCAGGCAACTAAACTCGTTAGGGGACAGGATTCACTGCCCCACGAAACACGATTATCCAATCTCGGACTTTTTCCTCTCAGCTACAGACAGTTAAGAGGCGACCTGATGCAAATATTCCGTATCACGCGCGGCCAGGACTGCTGTCTTCTACCTGGAGACTTCTTTGAGTTAGCAACCAGAACGAGCCTCCTAGCGCCAAGCTGGACACATAAGTTTTTTTAATCTAACAGAGTGGCTGAAGCTTGGGATAGTCTGCCTGCAGATATTATTATGTCCATATCTGTCGAGGCTTTTAGGCACAAGCTGGATCAGTAAATCACTACACATCATAATGCCAACCCTCCGATATCGGTTCAACGTCCCGCGCCAACAATTATATGCCACATATATTTATTTTAAGTTCACTTAGATACTGGCATTAACTTCGGCTCCTGATAACTAAAATCTTACCAACTTTTCTATAGCACAATTATGCATAGACTGACAACGGTACAATGTATTTGTTAGCGTCAGTATTTATAAAACTTGGAATAATTCACCGGCTGACGTGGGAGGGGCCAAACGGCACGTTGATTTGACCACAACTAAGCCGACCCCAAAGGGAACAAAGGTCACGCAGGCCTATCAGCGGTCAGCTCCGGGGAGGTCTAAGCCAGTCAGCGGCAAACAGGCAGGTCAAAGTTCGTGCATCCAGCACGGCTATAATACGAGGCAAGCGGCAAGACTGAATAACTCAAGACCCGCAAGTGCAACAATTACGCTACTCTGATGATGGAAACGAGGAAGTTTCCGAAACGTCAGTTCGAATACAATATGGTCCATGGATTCGCCCTCTCTTCTTCTTCGTCTTCTTCGGGAGATGATGAACGCGATATATATATATATATATATATATATATATATATATATGAGTTTGAAAACAGGCATCCCAAGAATCATAATTCGAAAGAAATAAGCTCTTTGGGAAAGATTAACAAGGTTTATTGTAAATGTTCGATCTTATTTCCCCAAGTCGTCTTCAGACGTGGACTATGTGTGCAAAACAGTCAACATCTAAACATGCCGAAAAATCGATTTTGCCTTGTCATTCCTGCTGGTGTCTTGCTCTGATTGGCTAATGTCTTTTCCACTTTTCCTTGAGGCTGTTGTACACCGTATACAATTCTACGTGTCTATTGATGCATGCGTTATCAGAATGGATGGCCTCTAAAAATTCACGGCCCTTTTTAGATGAACAGACACCTACAATGCGGGTCCTGTCCCAGGCAAATTTGTGTCCGGTTTCCAAAGTATGCATGGCAACTTGGGACAAATAGTCTCGCCTTCTTACGGCCAATTGGTGTTCGTATATTCGTGTAGAGGCCGATTTCCCGGTTTGACCACAGTAAACCGCATTACAGTTGTTGCATGGTATCTTATAGACGACTTCCTTCTTATCTAAATAGCCAACCCTATCCTTAGGGTGTACAAGCTGGTTACGAAGTGTAGTCGTCGGTTTGTGCGCCACATGTATCTGGTGCTTCCTCAGGTGTCTTTCAACTAGTTCAGACACATTCTTAATGTATAGAAGTATTCGCCAGTTTTTAGGTTTGGGCGCCTGATCGGAACAATCTAGTTCCTTCTCTTTTTCTTTTAACTCCTGTCGTCGCATGCATCGGTGTACAAAATATCTAGGATACCCATTCTGGGAAAACAGTTTGAACAAATAATTCAGTTCTGTTTGATATGTTTCGTTGTCAGAGCAGTGGGTTCTTGCTCGGTTAAGGAGGCTGTTCACGGCACTCCGTTTGTGAGAGATCGGGTGATTGCTCTCGTAATGCAAAAGAACTTCCGCGTAGGTTTCTTTGCGCTGAACCGAAGTGTGAAATGTCCCGTCAGGCTTTCTCTGTACGAGGACATCAAGAAAAGGGAGTTTGTTTTCAGCCTCTTTCTCGAGTGTGAATGTGATTCCTGGAAGTGTTGAGTTAATAATATTGTGGAGTATTTCCAGTTGATCACTTTTAACAATAACAAACGTGTCATCAACATACCCATAGTTTGGGGTTAACTAGTGGTAAGGCGATGGCGCCTAATTTCTGCATCGTGACTTCTGCCAGAAAACCAGAGATGGGTGATCCCATAGGGGCTCCCTTCAGTTGTTGATAGTAGTCTGGGATAGGACCCGCATTGTAGGTGTCTGTTCATCTAAAAAGGGCCGTGAACTTTTAGAGTCCATCCATTCTGATAACGCATGCATCAATAGACACTTAGAATTGGATACGGTGTACAACAGCCTCAAGGAAAAGTGGAAAAGACATTAGCCAATCAGAGCAAGACACCAGCAGGAATGACAAGGCAAAATCGATTTTTCGGCATGTTTAAATGTTGAATGTTTTGCACACTTAGTCCACGTCTGAAGACGACTTGGGGAACCAAGATCGAAAGTTTACAATAAACCTTGTTAATCTTCCCCAAAGAGCTTATTTCTTTCGAAATATATATATATATATATATCAGGTGAATAATTTCAGAAATTAATCAATGCAGAACTTGGAGTTAAATCTCCGGGACATGACTTTTTAGGGTCAGAACCGAAATTTCAATGAACATTTGAGTCGAAGACAATCAACCTGATTATTCTCTGGAGTTCATATACCGGAAACCGCTAGAGAACGCTGGGGGTCCCACTGAAGAGCCGAACCCCTCGCAGCTGTGTCACGCAGCGGCAGAATATCGGCGAAACACGTGTCTGGGCTTTTAGCAAGTATCTAGGTCGGGAGTACGGTATACTACCATTAATATATATATATATATATTTTCGAACACAATGCTTCATCTCCTACGTGGCTCTTATTACATCCATCCACATATTACGGCCGGCCCTGAGCCATAGTTTAGGGTGAGATAGTACACATATGCTTGCCCTCGCGAAATGTTCGTAAAGATTCAAAACGCTGGCGAAGATGCATGGATGTATGTGAATGTCTGTCTGCTGCTGTTGACTGTAGTCCGTGGATCAGGGGAACGTTTTTCACGCCAACTAGCATGGGTACGTTGGGACTTGAGTGAATGCTGGAAAGCATCACTGCAGACCATTTGATGACTGTTCAGTCATGAAAAAAGCTAGCCCAAATCCAGTGTGCACCTGCATATCGGAAGTAACCCCGTAATCCCTTGCACTTAAGTGTCTGATCAGGTTTACTTAAGAGCAGACTAACCATGGAATCGCGGGCGATTCAGTTAAAAAATAGGGTATGTTGGCTTAATCCTGTAGAAAGCGGCCTATCGAAGCTCTATGTGTGCATGATATTTCGCGTTTTCATATTTTATGAACAACTTACTTTGATTGGAAAACCGGACATGGAGCAATTTAGTGTCACATTGTCGTTACCGTTTGCCTTCACGATAAGGGGTTCGCTGTGCTGCGGTTGAATTGCACCTATATATGTATAGATTCGAAAGTAGAAAAGTTAAAAAAGAAAAAATAACTTTAAAGGTCCCTAGGGGGAAATTACGTCTTTGGTGGTAAAATTCTGATGTAGATGCTTCTCTTATAAAATACAACGACGCTTTTGCCGTTTTGGTAGTGCGAGTACTCAACGGACCAGTCTGCCATGAGGATACCTCTGCGAATTTCGTCGACTTATCAGATGGTGCCTCCACTATTATCACAACTCCAGAAATGAAACTCTAGCCACACAACCCTCTAGAAGTTACCGTCTACTTTCATTTGTGCCTGATCTCTGGGTTTCTTGTGTTGAGCAGGTCATGAGAGCTATCATAAACCGGAGATGATTTATTAACGATTTTTGGATCGGTGTCGTTCCGCCTGTCCATTCGACTGCTTATGAAACAATTTTGTACCAGCTGATGAAAATAAGTTTCGCCTTGATGATCCGCAGAAGTAGAGTTAATGATGAATACGGGATGGGCTTGCGCTTCCGCAAGTGATGTGCATGACTGCCCGGCCATCCACGTCACTTCTGTTGTTGTTGCTGTTTACCAAATGTTTTTTGTGAACCAGAGGGTGTGGTGTGCGGCGCCAGGTTTCGGGTTCGGCCGCGCAGTCCATCTGTGCCCTCACCACTTCCGGTCTTCTTGTCATTGTCTTGACAGCGATCTCATGTGGAAGTGAGGAAGAAGGAGGAGGAGGAGGAGGAGGAGGAGGAGGAGGAGGAGGAGGAGGAGGAGGGTTTGCGGTAGATGCTGCGCAAGTTTTTTCTCACCATAAAACTAACTAACTAAGAAGCACTCTTACCTTTACTGGTGTCAGACCATGTGTTGTTATTTAAAAAGAAGACGGTGATCGGTACAAGGGAATCATCACTGCCGAAAAATGTGATAAACGTCAGTTGCTCCGCCATTGTGCCGTTGATGATAGCTGTCGACGAATCCGAAGTCCCTATAAAACAGTAATGAAAGGTGGTACTCGTCACATTGGGCTCTATTTTGTTTTCAACATCTTAACTGAAGGACTATGAGTTTTCTCTTTTCCCCTGCATAATTTTCTGCCACGTTTCCCAGTTGTATCTGTTCTGTAACCAGCTAGTAACTTAGGAGATTCGATATGACTTGTGTTTCCTCTAAAAGCCGTAAAGTTTGAGTCGGTTTCTGGAGACGCTGGAAAATTGAAAAACTGTGCACAGCCCAGAAAGCAAAATAAGCAATAAAGCGGTTGTTTCGGAAGAGAGAACAGACAAGCATTACCTGGGATAATACTGCAATTAAATAGATCACAGGAGCAGCTCGTGTTTACGATCGAGAGTTTCTTTGATTCATATGCAAACCTCTGTACGGCAGAAAAATCAAAATTGCGACGTTAAAAATTATGGATTGGTAGAGAATATGGGTTAAAGGTTGCTTCACTATTAGGAGTTCACAAATATTATTAATGTAAGGTAGAGTTGACCAAATATTTGCTCGGGCACCTGTCTGGAAGTATTTTATAAATTTACTCAAATCTGACGACGACCCGGGGAGTTGACGTCGAAAATCTACTAAAAACGTTCTTACTTTTCCCAATGAATCTATCATCTTCATCTTCAGCATCTTGGGATGCTTGCATTTCAGTTTGCATATATGCATAAAATAATCATTTTTTCGACGGATACGCACAAACAGTGAGACTTACAGTATATACACCTGGAAGGGATACTTTGATAGAGAAGCTAGATCCGATCGTGCCGTTCACAATTCGAATTTCGTTCTCAAGCGGGGTGCACTGAGCGCCTGTAAAAGCAGGAAAATGCAATTTCTTCTAAAAAGCAGACTCGCATGTTGACTCAAACAACCGTTTTTTTTAGGGCGGTAACCATCAAAGCAGCCGAATGCCCGCTTTTTCCACTCGAACCTGCTACCAACAAGTAAGACATATTTATATGCTATGGTAGTATGCATTCGAGAAATATGAGCCTATCCGGCAAGTCTTTTGAAAACAGACTTACCCCAAACAAATTCCCTTTAATTTCCCAACATGTTAATAACTCCATCTACTTAGTCTTCCAGTGCGGTATAGCCTGCCACCTGTTTGTCATTAAGATCGACGAAATTGTCGCCGACGTTCGCTATTAGAAAAATCTCGTAGACAAATAGGAGTTGTGATTCACCAGCAAAACTTATGAATTTTATTTAAATCGTCGAGAAGGTCAAGTTTCCAGGATGGGGTCAGTGTGACCAAGTGTCAGTGTAAATGACCTCTCTTCTTGACACTGAAATCTCCACAGCTGACTTTCTCCGCTTGCACCATCTCCCCCTGCCCTCTCTCCGCCGTGGTTTCCTCCCCCCCCCCCTTCACCTGCAGCAGCAGCAGCAGATATCGCTACACTCCTCACCGGTAGCTACGCGATCCTGGAGATAGTATCCCCATTTCAGACAGACCGTTTTTACAGGCAGCGACGGATCTCATGAATGCGGGTTCGATTTCTTAAGTGGAAGTGTAAAACTGATTATCTGGCGAAATAATCCCATGATATTTCAAAAACGCAAGGATGCTGAATTTTGAATGTACATTTATCCTGTCACCTGATAGAAAAATAACTAACCAGCATTCATTTTGCCTATTGATTTTCAATGCAAATATACTTTGTATAAAAAGATGCACAGATGAACTTACTGGAGGCCCACATCAGCGATGAGAGGCAAAGGATGAAGCCTGGCACTTGCATTTTCGCCAAAGAAACCGAATGTAGCTCTGTGACGGTAAAAAAAAACAGTGCTCGATTTTAAACTCTTAAGGCAGAAAAGAGAGACTACTAATTTTGCAGATGTCATAGGCCCCCTACAGCTGTCGTGTAATTTGCAAGTTTGCAAAACCGTTGGCGAGCAGTTTGAAAGCAATTTTACAAAGAGTATTCTTTTTTCTGAAAAGGAAAGGCCGTGTAAGTAAAAAAAACGATTTCGAATTGTAGAGCGCGCAAGACTTTTGCCACACAAATCCTCACGGCGGACAGTTGAATGGTGTTTCAGAGGGCGCAATGGCGTGACTGAAGCTTGTTTATCTTTACAATTATTAAAATAAGATGGTTGCTGTTACGGTTAGAGGATAAGGTTCTACGATCGGCGCACCTCCCATATCTGCAGTAAGCAACTGTCTGTCGTTCAAGTTTTGGCAATGTGGACATCGGTTCTTTCCAATCGACAGTGGCAGTGGTTACGCATGAGGACCGCCCGAATTAAACGGACGAAACGGGGCTGCTTGAAGAAAATATTGCATTCAACTGAACTACTGGCTGAAGATGGTTCAGTGTTAAACAGCACTAGTGAAGATCGTGGACGTAACCAAGGAACATTGAGCGTCATCAGTCAGTTGCAAGTCAACTTTCAATATTTGCACAAGGCTAAATGCCCGAAAGATGTGATTTATCATATCTGGATTTTTTTAATATATGCGCTACCTAATTAGCCATTATAAGACCAAGACCCGATCCCGTTCCTTCCATTTTCACATTTGCTCGGAACACTTGACGAATTAGGATTACTCATACACACCAATACGTCAATCTACAGTCCAGTAAAATAGAGCATTTCAGGTAATAACATTCCCTTCTACACAGACCCTTGAAAACCGATTCTAGGATAGCATCGGTCGCCAGCATGAACTGTCTCATCTTTAATTTCGGGCTAGGTAGGTTACCCAAACCCAGTCCAACTAATTGCTTCCCTCGTCTAATGTCAACCACTTGTAAGGGACATGTTTGGTCAGATCGGTTTGAACTGTTATTAAACAGACATGACCTGTTGTCTCTATCGTATAAAAATGCTTTAAGGGGTGACTTCGCAATCATACTTTCCGCAGGTGTACTAGCCAATAAAATTCTACATGACATTTTACCTCATATTTGCTTCAGTTATGCTCGGTTTAACCCGGAACAAAGACGATGAGGCGTGTCACATATTCGAAGAATTGAAGACTTCTTAACTTGGACTCTGTTCACTTCTAGCCGGTAACAATACACTGAATAAACGCCCTCCACAAACGGACCCCATCGTAAAGACACTGGCTGATTAGTGCGAATTATTTCGAGCAGAACCGAGTACTCATCAAAAGTTAGTTAACAGCAGACTCAAGGAGACACTGAGGGGTCTATGCTGTGCAATAACTTACTTCACGAACCAACACTGTGGCGAGACACGGCATGCCAGTGACTCGCGAATACTTATATTTATACTGCTGGAGGCTGGATTCTCTGTGGTGATGAAGTTCACATCGTTACAGGGGTCGCGTAACGCATACTCCTGGGAGGTTAAAATTTCTTCAACAGAAATGGAGGGTGGGCAGTGAGAATGCATGTTGAAGGAACGCTCAGTGAGTAGCCGCGTAGAATTGCCTTCGATTAAGTGGCCTTGCGCAATCGCCTGAGAAGTAGCCAGATCTACAAGGTCAGGCGACTTGGCAGGACTGGGAATAGACGGAAAGAATAGAAGATTTTTGCCGACTGACAGTCAATAGTTTGCGAAACGAGCACGAAAATTCGAGCAGGACGTAAGTTTTGCGATTAGAATGTTAAGAATAAGAATAAGAAGACGAAGATGCTCCGATTGCAAGGGCAGGGATTTTGCTAACCTGACTTTTCGCATTCTCACTCGCAGATGGGTGCGGTGGGCGTACAGGGTGTGCAGTAATTCTTGGACGCTGTTGCCATGGCAGCTCTCGAATTCTTCGCCGGTAGTCTTGACTGGTGTGATGATGGTTTGCCCGTCCACATTCGAGTTGTTAGTTGCGACCTGAAATCACTAAACCCTAATACAATTGCTGACCTAACTAAAAATCATTCGGGAGTTGAAAAACTTTTTTAAAACTGAAAAGTACATTTTTCGAGTATAAAACTTGAAGTTGATGAAATTTACTACCAAAAGAGCAAAAGAACGCATATTTTATGCATATTTTCTATAAAGTACGTTAACATTCATAGGGGACATCGAAAGCCAATGTTAAAAATGCGAGCTGATAGAGTAGTCATTTTAATCGATTGCAGTTATTAAAGGAGATCGCAGAGAAGTGCTTTCAAAAGCTAACCTCTTGGTGAATACAAAATATTTTGGGATAATTGGCACTACAGTCTCACCTAAATAATCCTTCCTTATTGACAGCGCATTTCAGAATTTATTGTACCTTTGAACCCCCTATTTATTCCAAGGATAGAAGTATATTAAAAAGTTGGAAAACTGAAACACCAAGCAGCCACAAAAAAATATTGAAACTCTACTGACAGATGAATTATTCCAAGTTTTATAAATACTGACGCTAACAAATGCATTGTACCGTAGTCAGTCTATGCATAATTGTGCTATAGAAAAGTTGGTAAGATTTTAGTTATCAGGAGCCGAAGTGAATGCCAGTAACTTTCTCATGGATGCTGAGGTCCTTAGTGGTCTGGGCTTTCGACGATTAAATAACGAATTCCAGATGCGGCCACACAAACGTCCGAAAGACTTTAATGAAACCGCCATCATCGAAGGTAGAGAAAGGCCGCTTGACAAGTTACAGAACTGACATCGTGGACTTGGCTACCCTGGAGCGACGATTTAGGTGAAGCCGTGACCCACAAACCCAAGTCCTTCTGGGTGTCAACTTCTTGTGATGGTATGCCATTTAGCTGGTAAGCCCTGCAGTTCGGGGATTGAGTACTACTGACTCGCAATATGTTGCACTTGGTCACATTAAATGTTAAAAGCCAGTCCTGCGATCATTTCTGAAGCCTGGT